CTTTAAAGTTCTTGTAAAACTCTGCTGTATATCCATCCGGTCCTGGGCTTTTCTTGGTTGGTAGTCTTTTGATGGCTTCTTCTATTTCCTCACTTGATATTGGTCTATTTAGGTTGTTTATATCTTCCTGACTCAATCTGGGTAGTTCATATGTCTTAAGGAATTTATCGATGCCTTCAGAAGAACTTTTTGATAAATCCAAGGGAATCCTGGTGTGTAAAAAGACAAAAGCAGAACTACTGAATTTAAGTGGAGCTGGAAGACAAGAGGTCTACTTAGCAGGACAAGGCTTCTTACACTCCGCTTCTAGATCTCCATTTCAACTCCATTGAAAACCAACAACTCCCCCTTCCCCTGCCATCATTACCTCCCTGGGCCACCACACTACTGCCCACACTCCACAGCTATCCTGCAGAGACATGGGAAGCACACAGCATAGATAGATACTCAAACTTCAGTGTACCTAAGAATCAGCTAGAGAGCCTGTTTAAATGGAGATTGACAATCCCTCCTCCCCCACCCAGGAACTGATCCACTCCACTCTCATCCATCTGGGGTGGAATCTTAGAAGTCTGACTTTGAATCAGACTTCTAAATTGATCCTGATACTCCAAGAAACTTCTCCAAACTGGGATCCCAATTTAAAATTGTGCTGCTTTTTCTCCCTTGATTGTTATCAGTGCTTTTATGCCAACCACTTTTATGTAACTAAAGAGCATTTTATTGAAGAGTGAATTATATGCTTTTTGCCCATTCTCATGAAATCACCATCCAAACATTTACAAAGGTAGTACTAGAAGGGAAAAGGAAGTTAAAGTTGTTTGTCTTAAATCACAAGTTCACATAAATATGAATAGTAGAAAATGAACTATGAAGGATTTTCATCAAATAGAACTTTAAGAACCTTTGTTTTTTTCTTTTTTTTAATGTTAATGTGGAGGTCAAGAATGGCAGTAGCAAGTAGCATATTGCATAGGGCCTTGTACTAACAAAACTATTTCATATACACATTTCATTTGTCTCAAGAGCCTGTATATAAGACCAGAAGATCAGCTCATATATGAACAGTGAAAGGAAACAGGGTGAAATGATGCCCCAAACAAGCAGACCAGCAGAACAGAAGAGAAGCAACAAGACATAGCTGGAATGAACATATTTTGGATAATCACTGAATTTTGAATTTAAAATTTGAATCTTAGAAATAAGTGAATGAGGTTGTTGCATAAATTTAGATTTTGACCCTTAAAAAGGTAAGGAGTTAAGGGGTCTCAGGTCTTTAATAAAATTTATAGAAGTTAAAAGCTTCTGTTGTATTCTAGGACAAATTTAGAAGTTGTTTTTTATTAAAAGAGTTAGCCACACATTGAGTTGTAAAACATTTACTCAGGTAATCTCTCAAACTATGCAATGCTTTTATTTTCTATTTTCATTTATTTATTTTAATCTATTATTTTCTATTTCTTATTAAACTAAGTTTTAATTCAACAGATATTGATTGAAAGTCTTTTTTAAGAGTTATACAATTTTACAGATTTTTTTTAAAGTCAGAAAACTTCTGCTATTGAAATTGAGCTCCTTGATCTCACCTCTATTTTAAAATATCACATTTTTATTGCTATGTGCTTATCATCATTTTTCCCACTAATTTATAAGGTTCTGAAGATGATATGCCACATTCTCTTTGTCATTGGTATTCCCAG